GCTGCCAAAACCAAAAATTCGATAAAAAACTCATTTCCTAAACAATATTTCATTTTTTAATTTACTACGAGTTGCTCTTATCTATATTATCCTGTCCTAGTGCGCTCGCATTTTCTCCCATTAAACGTGAGTGATGACAGCCCAAACAAGAATGTTAAAACACCTGGGCAAAAAGCCCATGACAATATCGAAAAACTTGCAGCTTCTTTAGTGTAAACCCGTCATTTTCACTAAACTATCACCCATAACATAAACCTATTAATAAATTTCACAAAAAGTTGCAGCAGAACACCCATCTTGCCCTAACTTCCAGTACTTGACCAGCTGGCTCTTTACAATTATCACAGCATCTCTGTGCGTCAATCTCGCAAATGCCCCTCCATCACAGACACTACGGATATCACAGCGGTCTTGGCCCCCAAGCCTCAATTAATCAAATGCGGTTTTGTGGCAACGAGCATCGTTAACAAACAAGAGGTCGTACCCTCACTAGAGAACAAAAAGATTCTTGAAAATTATTGATTTTTACCAACAAATAATGGCAGTTATATCTTGGTAAATAACAAATATATAAATCAGAAATTTCCTTTAACTCACAAGCCACTTATGCCTCCTATCCCCTCTTCCCCACAATTTCCCCATCTCCTTGCGCAATGCTTACGTGATGATAAGTAGAAATAACAACAAAGCAAGGCAATGCTTATGTCATTGCCAACAAGAAAAAAAAATCAAGAAGATATAAGAAAACAGGGTAACGACAGTAGCAAACATCGCTCACCTCTGTGGATAGGGCTTGATTGGCGCCATGTGATAGTAGGAATCGTACAACATCTTCATGATTCTCTTGTGCAGCCATATATAATGGTGTGAAACCATTAAGCGATTGAACGTTGACATTTGCTCCATTTTCGACGAGTATTGTAACTATTAGTGACTGTCCAGCTAATGAGGCTATATGCAGAGCTGTGTTGCCTTTCTGAAAATTATAAAAAATAGTTTGCTCGAATTTTTGGAAGGGTGCAGGTTATAGCGCTTGGAGACTCCAAGGGAGCTCTCAAGTACGTTACATAAAAAGCCTTTTTCTGCAAGGCTTTAATTTTCCATATCAAAGATTAAGGAAACAACATTAGTTCAAATAGTCAATGAATATGAGATACCTAAGCTATCTGTTGACGATATGTGAAAAAGACAAGCCTTATTGTCCGATTACTTTGAGGTTCCAACAATAATAAACAAAAACTTCTCTTAAATTGGTGACAGGTGAAATTTCATCTGATAAATGAAAAATCTAAAAATTATTCATTTGAACATGGAGATACCTGCGAAAACTTGATTATAGTTGATTTTTGACTTTCTCTGACTTCCTCTGATACATTGAATTCTTTTTAAACTAGTGCCACCAACCCAGAAATTACGCTTTTCAAGAACTTTGGTTGGGATAGCGTCATGGCTTTTCCACAATTCGCAAAAATTCAGCTGAATAAGCGAAAATTGGCAAGCGAATTTTCGCCCACCTAAGAGACGTTTATCAAGAGCGCGCCCTCTTAAATCAAATTTTGCCAAGGTCATTTTCTCCAATGTGCTTTCACGTCATTTGCAGCACTCAAGGCAATTATATAGAAGAGAACGAGACTTCTGACGTAAAGACGG